GGACGTTAGAGGACGTTAGAGGTGAAAGTGTTCTTAGAAGCCATCTAGCAAAGTGGTTCTCATCACAGCCTCCCCTCAGACATGAATTCCAATGCAGCAAATCTTAAAGTGGAGAAAACTGTATAAGTATTAATGTTTTCCTTTCCCCCAAATTCCTGTGAAATATAGAAATATTACATAACTAGTAGCCCTGCCTTTGTAAAAAAGACCACAATCTTGTTAAGAAAACTATTTGTTGCAACCCATAATTACCGAGGCACCATCTGTGACATCCAGTGTTCTTTGCATGAGCGGAGACATCCGGGCACATTTTAGAATTTTTTTTAGCACAGATGGGAAAGTGAAAAGGGTGTAACCAAGCAGAAGCATGGCATGAACTATCTGATTGGTTGCATATGCTATGTTGTTGAGAAATTTTTATTTAATAGCTATTGTAAATGCACTCATTTTCCTAGAAAACTTTATTTGCAATCTATATTCAGCTTTATATTCTCCCATTGACCCTGAACATTGCCTTCAGAATGATTCTTACAAAATACCTGCTTCCTCTTCCATCCTCAGGTAAAGCTTAAACCCCTGAACTTGGGATTCAAAACCTACATTTCAGTCCTTCCTGAGCCTCCAGATTTAGTTGTCATGGCCAGCCCTCTCTAGCTGCTGTTGCCCAATGCCCATCCACCAAATGCATACTCTAGTGGCCCCCAAATATGTTGACCCAGGAGCTTTGCCTGGGATGTCTCTCCATAGCCCAGTGGTCGGCAAACTCATTAGTCAACAGAGCAGCAAACTGCATCTCACAAGCCACATGTGACTCTCAAGCCACAGTTTGCCAACCACTGCCATAGCCCATCTCTCCTCTCAGGTTGTCAAAAATCACACTGCTTTTCCAAAGTAAGACACTTCACCCAGTAATTTCTCTCATCTGCTCTCACTGCTTGTTCTTAAAAAAACATCTGTAGAGCTCCTAAACTGTTATAGCACTTAAACAGTGTCTGTAAAAATAGCATGGCACTTCAGTTAACTGGGATATTTGTATTTGCTTAAATCAAGTCTGTTGAAGTATAATCTACTGTGAAACTGCTTTTTTGTAAGAATGTAGAATTCTGCCCTCACTGGTTTGGTTCAGTGGATAGAGCGTCGGCCTGTAGACTGAAGGGTCCCAGGTTCGATTCTAGTCAAGGGCATGTATCTTGGTTGTGGGCACAGCAGGGGATGTGCAGGAGGCAGCTGAACAATGTTTCTCATCGATGTTTCTAACTCTCTCCCTTCCTCTCTATAAAAAAAAACAAAACAAAACATTTTTTTAAATGTAGAATTCTATAAGATTTTTGTTAAAAAGGATTCATTGAAGTATAATTGACAAAAATCTTATAATTGATATATAAACTGTATATATTTAAAGTGTAAAATGGGATGAGATTGCAATATGTATACATTAATGCAGCCACTACTGTAATTGAGATAACGAACATATCCATCACCCCGAAGTTTCCTCATGTGCCGTTGTGAGTCCTCCCTCGCACTCCTCTGGAACCCTGACTAACAACAAGATTTAAAGGATGAGCAAAAGAAAAGGAATTAACCTATTGGGCAATTTAGAGTCTTTCATGAGATTGAGGGGTGCTCTGAAAAGTGGGAGGAGAACCCAGAAAAGTGAGGGCACTAAAGAAGTCAAAGGAGAAGAGAACTTCAAGAGAGTGAGCCATGCAAATGCTAAGAAAGGTCAAGTGAGATATAGACTAAAAATGAACCACCGAGACATCCCATGTTCATAAACACACTTAATATTAAGATGGCAAAATTCCCCCAACAGATCTACACATTCAATAGAATCTGCTAATGGGTATGAGGTTTCTTTGGGGATGGTGAAAATGTTTTAAAATTAATTACAGTGATGGCTGCTCAGCTGCGAATATATTAAGAATCATTGAATGGTACTAAAGAGAATGGTATGGTATATGAATAATATATTTTTTAAAGGGGTATTTTTTTAAAAAGCACCTCTGGATTTGCTCATTGGGAGTAATTAACGACCTTAACGAGAGCAGTTTCCATAATGAAGGGAGTACTAGAAAGAGGGAAGCTTTAGAACTGTTATTCAGAGAGAAGGCGAGGGAGAGAGAATCTAATAGAGAAAGAAATTGAAGTTATTAGATCAGAGCAGGTGTGAGGCAGGCGGGGGTGGGCAGTGACGGTGTGAAGTTCTAGATCCCATTGAACTTGAGTGAGGGTCTATCTTTTCTCTGATTTAAAAAGGGAAAATTTTTCTTCCTAAAATCTGCCGAGGTCTGGCCTTTTTCTCCCGAAGATAATGTGGTTGCTTTCTCCAAGAGTTTCCATCATTGACATCTTACCAACCAATTACTCCTCATTAGTCAGGATTCAGGTAAGGGAAAAGATCATACTGCAAAGAATATTATAGTCCCCAGTGATTATAATCTTTATTCTTTAATATCAAGAATATGGCTTTAAATTAAGAAGTAAAATGCCAGCATCTCTAAAAAATGTTGTATTTGCCAGCCAAAAAATAGGACTAATGCCATCTACATGGAAGAATATAAAACTGCAGTTATTTTCAAATTGCTAAATAAATCTCACCCTCCCCTACTAATATCTGAGGCTAGATAACCATTTTTGAAACTCTAGAACATATCCAAGGATTATTCCAATTAACCTATTCCCTAGAATTTATAACCATTTATAACCTGACCTTAATTTCTGGGTTCATTATAGTCCAAGGTTTGAGACTTACTACAGTATTTCTAAAAATCTTTGTGTTTTTCTGAATGCTTAAACTCCGTCCCAGCTAAAATCTCTTGACAAGAAATCCTTCCTGTTAATAAAGAATCGGTGGTGGAAACTGCCTTAAAAGGATAGTGACGTGTCATTTTTATCAATTTTCCTATCTCTAAGCCATACATTATATCCTGATGGGTGCACTGGCTCTGGGATTGGAAATGTAACAACAATTAGTACCATAGGGGACTAGTTCAGATGTGATACATTTGCAAAGGAAGAACTTCTAACCTCAGCAGCTATTCAGTGTGGGCAGCCTTCTTGCCATATCTCATTTTCATCAGCTGGAAGCTCAATGATGTTAATTTTGGTTGAACAGGTTGTCTATGGGCTGAATTCCTTTTTAGCCATGATGGAAGACCATTGTTCACCTTCCTTCTATATGAATGTGGGCACAGAAGCCAGAACTGACCCAGTTCAGAAATAATTTTGTTACCAAGACGTATATAGCTCCTGATGCAGTGTTAGGTCATCATTCTGCCCTCAGCCATCCTGACTCACCCTTTGCACTGGCGTTCACATTGAATTAGCATAAAGCCAGGACAAAAATATCTCTATGTCACCTTAGGTATACTGACTCTTGTACTTTTTGTTGTGTGAATATTCCCTTACTATCCGCTTTTCCCAATGCATTTGATATTCATTTTAAGGGATCGTAGCTATTTACAGGAGAAACACTGCAAAGTGACTTAAGAGAGTGGTTAGGAGCACATACTCAGGGGCCACCATGCCTGTATTTACCTCTCAGCTCTGCCACCTGTAACTGTTTGACGTTGGGCCAGCGGCCTGACTGGTGCCTCATTTTTGTCACAAGTAGAATGGGAGGAGCAGCACCTCCCAGGACTGCAGTGGGAATTAAATAATGACATCAAGTGCTTAGAACAGTACCGGGTGCACACACCCCCTCGGTAAGTGTTAGCCAGTTATTAGCTCTTCTTTTAAATTAACTGAGAAAACGGTTCACATTGTAAAATGTCAATCTAAATACTAAGTACAGTACTAGGGCTGGAGGAAATTCTCATGAGCTAAACCAGCACTCGCAAGCTCTGCAGAAGAAGGAAAGGTTAAAGCCTAAAACTCAGGGTCAGGACCGTGGCTCCATCATGGCTGTACCGCCGGCCGCTGTGCAACCCCGGACCCTGCTTCCTTCCTCTGCCCCTCGAAGACACTCTCCACGTATTCTCGGAAGTTACTTCCAGCCTCTAACAATCTATAATGCCCTGAATTCACATGGTCTCTTGTTCTGTCAGCTAAGCAGTACTATTTACACAACTCTGAAGAGAAAGGAATAAGCATCTATAAAACGGTTTTCATGTGGTTAAGAAGTGAAAACTACATGGACAGATTCCAAAATCCAAAATGGAGTGTCCCTGTCCCCTGGACACACGACCTTGAACAAACACTTTAAGAGTTCCTCTATTACAGTTCGGGGCCTGTCCAGGATTTACGAGGCACAGAACTGGGACCTGGCCTGACCTTCCAGGGCTGAGCACAGGTGGGACTCCTGGCCTGCGACCCCGTTTCTAACCCTCATGTTCTGACACTAACGGTGTGACAGCCCAAAAATAGCTTCTCAGGAACAAAACTGACTTGGTGGTGCATTATTTCAAGTAAAATTAAAATGATGACTTGATTTCTAAGAATACTGACTTCCAAAAGTGTTTTTATCTGAGCTCCCTGAAATAAGATCTCATGAAAAATAACAAAATGATGGTGTTTTACACACTGGTTTATTTTAAAGCATAATGTATAAGAAAAGGTAGAGTCTCTCACAAAGTATCTGATAAATACTTTAAAGAAATCTCTAATAAGGGTAAATGTACACACTTTTAGCCACAAAAGTGTAATTTTAAAGGCAAATTTCAGACCTCTTTAGCTACATGATAGCTAATGGCAAGCTTAAGAACAGTAAAAATGTGCATTAATAAAACTTTGAGGAAATTCATGAAAACATTTTATAAACATTATAAACATCCACTATATACTGTGGGAGAAGGCTTCATGATCTACTTACAAATGGTGAAATCCTGCTTTTGTAATATTACAAAGTTATTATACAAGTTTTAATTTACATTCTTGTTTAAACTCCCTCATGTCATCTTCACTAATATCAAGCACAGATTGATATTACACATGTAAATAAACACACTACTTCCTTCCTTATGTAACGCCCATTGTAAAAATACACTTGGTCTCAGGAGCAATCAGAGCGTAGCAAAGTGCTGCTGTAGCTGTTTAATTAAGTGCTGGGTGTCCACGTGATCTGGAAATGCGGCCTCAGACTTTCGAGCAGCAATATAGCTTCTCTGTAGATCTCCAATCTGCAAAAAGACCAGGAAAAGACCACAGAATAAAACTTCCCCAAAAATGAGTAAGGGATTCAAAACAAGACATACTAGTCCAAACTCAAGGGGTTTCTAAGAGTAAATTGCTTGATTATGCTATTTGGAATTTAGAATTCTTTCACCTAGATAACAATTCTGACTTGAAAAAATATGAGAAAAGGAAAATAAACAATTATATAAATGACTAGAGGCCCATTGCAGAAAGATTCCTGCAAGAATAGGGCTTCCTGCAGCAGGAGTGAAGCTCCTTTCTCCACTGCCTCGCTTCCTCCCTTCTCTGCCGCTTCACTCCCTTCTGCAGAGCTTGGCTTCCTCCTCCGCTATCTTCAGTCTTTGCTCTGTGCCTGCATATGCAAATTAATCACCATCTTTTGGGGGGGTTAATTTGCATACTCACTCCTGATAGGCTGGTGGGCATAGTGGAGGGATGGTCAATTTGCGTGTTTCTCTTTCATTAGTGTAGATTTCCATGCCAATTACTGAATCCTTCTCAAACCCAGCAGTTCCTTAATGAGTATATTTTTAATGATTAAATGTCATATCTTAAAACGTAAAATAATTCTTCTGCAACCCATAATGGTATTAAGTTTAGGCAATATTTGGTGATAACGTTCTTTAAAGTTTATTACACTTAAGGGAAGACATATGTGTAAATAATAATTGTGTTTAAAAAATCATTTCTTTCAGGAAGTTATGATTAGAATGCCCTTATTTATCTGTATTTTTTAAAAACCAAGTTGCTGTAAAAAGAGAATACCTTATCAGAGATTGTTGCAAAATTAAAATGCGGTTCGTACAGGTGGGGTGCTAAAGATGATGCAGTTTGCAACAGCGCTCTTGCCTGTGGAAAGAAAAGAAAAACCAAAGGTATCTGAGCAGATGGTAGCACTATATTTATGATTTTTTTTTGTAAAGAATCCTTTAACCAGGATAGGACCTTAGTAAACATGATGCGATACAGATGACATTCCTTATGAAATACAACTTACTAACATACTAACTACTTATATTTTCCAAAACTAGATTAATACTAAAATGTTTCAAAATATGGAAAAAAACAAGGGAACTGAAAACTTAGAATAGATTTAGTTATTTGAGAACCGCTGTTCTTCTAAATGACAACTCAAAATATAATCCTCTCAATGCAAAAAATAATAATAAGTCTTGTTAATCCAGTCTTGTTGCTGTTGACTGAGTTAGTGGGCTCCTAATGATCTGTTCTCTAATACAACAAACACACCTAAATGCCACAGAAAATGTCAAAGCTCCACACTCTGTTCTGGGTGGCAGTGAGCAAACAGTTTATTATTCTGCTGCCAGTGCCTGAAGGTGTCCTGGACACTGAAGTGCGAAATGGCCTTTCTAAGGAGGGAGTGAAGCTGAGACCCCGGTGACGAAAAGAAAAGTCCCTGCAGGATCTGCAAGAACTTTCCGAAGGCCCTAAAGTAAGGACAGTCCCTGTGTGTCTGCAGAGCAGCAAGGCAGCTAACGTGCCCAGAAGCCAGTGTGAAAGGTGTACAGTGGTCCTCCCTCATCCATGGGGAAACTCTCCAAGACCCCCAGTGGATGGATGCCTGAAACCAGGGATATTACCAAACCCTGTACATTCTATGTTTTTCTTATACATACATATTGATGATAGTTTAATTTATAAATTAGGCACAATAAGAGATTAACAACACTAGTAAGATAGAACAATTATGACAATATACATTATGTAAATGTCATCTCTCTCTCTCTTTCTCTCTCTCTCTCTTCTCTCTCTCTCTCTCTCATAACCAATCTGATAACTGAGACAGCTAAGTGACTGATGTGCAGCGTGGATAAACTGGACAGAGGGATGATTCTCATCCTGGGCAGGACAGAGAGGGATCGCACTCAGGATGGTGCTCAATTTAATACTCATAAGTTGTTGCCGAAACTGGTTTGGCTCAGTGGCTAGAGCGTCGGCTTGTGGACTGAAGGGTCCCGGGTTCAATTCCGGTCAAGGGCATGTACCTTGGTTGCGGGCACATCCCCAGTTGGGGGGGGGGGGGCGGTGCAAGAGCCAGCTGATAGATGTTTCTCACTCATTGATGTTTCTAACTATCTCTCTCCCTTCCTCTCTGTAAAAAATAAAGAAAATATATATTTTTTTAAACAAAGACTCATAAGGTGTTATTCCTGGAATTTCCCATTTCACATTTTAGGACCATGGTTGAGTGCGAGCAGCTAAAACCGAAGAAAGCGAAACCGTGGAAAGAGGGGACTGCGCAGTGGCAAAGGTGTGTCTGAGAGGGAGCCAGAGGCCACTTCCTCGGGCCTCCTAGGCCAAGGGTTCAGTCCAGGTTTTATTTCCGATGAAAAGAGAAAGCCGCTGAAGGATGCTCAGCGAAGTAGTAATAAAATAACCTTGTTTGCTGTTTAAAAATCCCTGCGGCTGTCCTGAGGAGGATGTCTTAGAGGGCACACTCACTTGCTGACTGGAAAACAAAAAGACCAGCCAGGAGACTCTTATATTGGTCCAGGCAGGAGGTGAGAGCAGGTGGGAGATGGTGGTGGGGGAGGAAGGTGGCCGGGTTCGGGACGAGGCTTGGAGGTCGGCCTGACAAGGGCTTGTGGACCCTGCTGGGGACATGGGTGGCAGGAGAGGCAGTCCAAACAAGAGGTTTCCAGGGTGCCCCCAGGATTCTGGCTTGAGCAGCTCCCGGGTGGGTGGGGGCTGTGAAGGTGCAACATTCCCCTGAGACAGGGAAGACTGGGGCTGCAGGTCTGTCCTGATAAACCAGGTGCTAGTGACTCATGCCAGGTCACATCACTAACGTGTGACGGGCTGGGATTCAGACCCAGCACCCGGTTAAATTTCAGCCTGTGGAGGTGCTGCCGGGACAGCTTTTCCTGGGAGACAGCGGCCTGTCCGCTGTGCAGGGCAGGGCGCTGACCTGTTCCACGTGGCCCTTCCGCATCTCCAGCACGGCCAGGTTGTTGTAGGCCTCGGCGTGGTGGTTGTTGTTGACCAGAGCCAGCCTGAAGCACTGGTGGGCCAGGCTCGTGTCTCCCACTCCCTGCAAAAGAGACACGCGTGTCCGCACACCCCGACCCACACGCTTCCTCCCGCCACCTCCTCCAGTCTGAGCAAGAGTGCCGATCATGGGAGTCAAACGGGGAATTGTAGGTGAGAGGATTTAACTCGGGAATATAAAGGGAGTGTGGTGACTCTTAGAAGTCTCTACATTGCCACCTAAGACTGTTGCCGAGCCTGGATTCACAATTCCTAAAAAGGCCTTCAGACTGCACCACCTTTTCTACCACAGAAGTTGTGTGAGAGGAACGACATACCACAGCTATATGTCCCAGGTTGTACCAGACATCAGCCGTCTCTTCTTCGTTCTCAGCCAGAGAAAGGGCACGTTCGAATGAGGTCAGGGTCATGTCGTACTGCTGGGCATAGAAGCAGCAGAGCCCCAGGTTGTTGAAGAGCTGGCAGTTATAAACCCCCATCTGCAGGAGGCGCCTGTGTGGGGAGAGAAGACATATTTTGGCGTCAGGCCAACTTTACAAATGTTCACACAGATGCATTTTTTACAAAGTTAGAAGTGAATTTATTTTATAATTTTATCACCCCCAAATAGAAGTAAAAAGTATTGCAGTCGATGAAAAAAAAAAAAAAATGTTAAAGCAAATACAGAAGCATGCCTTTTTTTAATGGTACCCGTTATGGGAAATGTGTCCAGAGGCAGTCAGACAACTTATCTAAGTTTTTCCCCTCCAAAAAACTTGGTTAGAGAATCAAAATAAGATAAAAATAGTCACGTAAAGTGAAACGCACACATTTTTGCGTCATAATGCTTCCATACCCATAGGTAAGCTCCTAAACATCCTGATCTAATTTGAAAATGTTTAGCATTTACTTCCACGCTTCCAGCTGAGTTGGGTCCTGGTTTTGGCGATGAGTATTTTGTAGTTTTAGCTGCATCTACCGACCAATGGGCTCCCCTGAGGAAGACAAGACCGCGACAGCTCAGGAAGCCCATTTGCTTCTAAGCATCATTAATCCCACAGGCAAAGGACAAGAGCTCAAATAAGCAGATGAAATCCAGCCCAGCTGCCCTGAGGAACCCATGGGGGCAGGAGAACAGACAGCATCGATATTATCGCTTATATGTATCTGGGAAGAACTCTTGCCAGTTGCCAGTTACCACCTTTTATATTACCTAAGGGCTGAAGAGGAAATCGAAATTTAAAAATTCATCAGGAACAAGCTGTGGGATAAAATAAGTCTGTGGGGGGAAAAAAAAACAACCCAGAGAACAGAATTTATTTAGACTGAAAAATTTTTTGGACAGAAGTTGACAATGCTTCACAGAACAGGGGATGCTGTTTCAGGGCCCCATTGGGGCTCAGGACCTCGGGGCTGCTTCTCTTTGCAAATCTCACCCCCATCTCAGCTTGCAGATTGTTACATTACACAGAGAGGTATGAACAGAGGCAGAGATGGTGAGAGGGAGGTGCTTCCAGCAGCCATAGAACTGTTACTGATTAATGACAAAATGACTAATTTGTACAATGCCAGAGGGTTAAACACTCAGGTGATTATTGGGGTGTGTTTCTACAAGGTGCCAAATATCTGTGCATTTCCAAATTTTTAGAGGTCACTTTTAATGCTCATAAAACACCAGGGTGGCCGAAACGGGTTTGGCTCAGTGAATAGAGCGTCAGCCTGCAGACTGAAAGGTCCCAGGTTTGATTCCGGTCAAGGGCATGTACCTTGGTTGGAGGCACATCCCCAGTAGGGGGTGTGCAGGAGGCAGCTGGTCGATGTTTCTCTCTCATCGATGTTTCTAGCTCTCTCTCTCTCCCTTCCTTTTTGTAAAAAATCAATAAAATATTATATATTTTAAAAAATCACAAAACATCTGGGTGTTGGGAGTTTCTAGCCTCATAAAGACATGGCTTATCCACTATTTCTCTACGTTCCCTCTTTATTACTGTCTCACCAATATTCCACAGGAAAGGAGTCTCACAAACGGAAGGGAGAGCTCACCTGTAGAAGCGGAGAGCGACTTCTGGTTGATCAGAATAAAAGTGGTTGCTCCCAATGCATGCAATGGCCTCCATGTGAGTGTTGTCCTGTTTCAAAACTTCTTTGTAGTATTCAGAGGCTGATGAGATATTGTTCATTTCCTATTCGCCATCAAGACAGAAGACAATAATTCTAAAAATATATTTTTACTGATTTTTTTTTTTTTTACAGAGAGAAAGGGAGAGGGATAGAGAGCTAGAAACAACGATGAGAGAGAAACATCGATCAGCTGCCTCCTGGGACCCTTCAGTCTGCAGGCTGACACTCTATCCACTGAGCTAAACCAGTCAGGGCAGAAGAGCAATCACTGACTGATATTGCCAAGACATTATTTTCTGACTGGTTTATATTCTCTCATTCAGTAAATATTTATTAAGAACCTACCAGACTGTTCTAGGCCCTGGGGACACAATATAAACCAAAAAGATAAAGTTGCTATCCTTAAGGAGGCTGCATCCGGTAGAAGATCAACAAATGACCACACATGTGATGTGATGTCGGGCAAGGCCAGGGATGGAGAGAAAAACAGAGCAGGGTGAGGAGATGGGAGGGTGCTGATGCAGAAAGGCCACGGAGGGGGTGCCGTGAGCACAGGCCTGGGTGGAGGGAGGGGCTGAGACCTGAGCACATTTGCTGTTCATACAAAACATCTCTGCCAGCCCGTGCAGTGTAGGCTGCGGTGCTAGGATAAACTTCACTAGTCAACGCCAAAGTCATTGTCGCTAAAGAGAAAAAGGGCATGCTGGAAATCTTCGTGCCGTAAACTATGCGCCATGGGAAATGAATTCAAGGGGAATGCTGCATCCGACCAGCTCAGGTCTGTGCTTAGTCCTCATCACCCTATGTGTGCATGGCACTGTCCCCATGAAGTCCTTTCCTCTCGACATCTGCCTTCCTCTGAGTGTGAAGTGAAATTCTCCTTTCCTCACAAACCTCCTCTGAGCACTCTTAACAGGATAGGTTCCTCCTGCTCCTGGCCACCGCGAAGCAGGGCAAGGAAGAAGGTAGCTGGTTAAAGGGCCTGCGCCCTATCACAGGCATGGCAGCAGTGACTATCACAGAGGCATGGAGGGAACTCTGACCAGCAACCACAGCTAGAGGTGCCCGCGTTCTCTAGGTCTCTCTGCCAGCACTTCCTGCCTAAGGAAGACCGGCAGAAGGACTGGGATGTGAGAAGGCAGAGCATGAAGGTGCAAGAGCATCAGGATCGCAATCCTATGCACGAATGCCACTGGGTTCACAGCCCAGTTTATTTCCCCTCCTCCCCAAGCTTCTTGGTCAAAATTCTGTTCAATGTGGAGTCACACACGTAGAGATACAGAGATAGAGAATTTTTATGGAATGATCAAAGTTCTCTATTTACATGTCTATCAAAACTATATTTCAAAAAGAAAAACCACCTTTCCAGACAATTCAAAAATACTACTGTTTTTCTTTTTTTTTAAAGTGATGCATGTTCATTACAAAAAATCTGGAAAATACTGAAACTGTAAAACCAAAAATAAAAATCATTCATATACTACTCCCCAGATATAGAAACTATTAATATTTTCCACTTTTTCTAACAAAATAATTTTTACAATATCGTACCTGGCATTTCAGGGCATTTAAAAGAGAAAAGAGGTGCCTCTATTAAATACTATATTGGAAGTCCTAAACAATAAGATATTTTTTAGTTTGGTAAAATAATTGAAGAAATGAAACTATTTGTAGCTGATGATTATTTTATTACTTAAGAAATTTTAAGAGAACCTGTGGATAGTGAATTAAAATTTAAAGAGTATTTAGCCAGGTTGCTAATATCAAATCTACTTTTAAAAATTAATGCATTCCTACTAACCAGAAGTAATCAAACAGAAAATACAATAGAAAAAAGGATCCCATTCATAGTTATACGCAGGAATACATCTGTGCAGAAAAAGTTAACTAGCAGGTCTGAGACTGTTATTCCTAGAAAGGCTGGCTTACAAGGTTGGCCCCTGGGCGGCATCTCAGAACTTTGCTAGTTCCCTACACTGATAGAAAACTTCCCCAAATGACAAGAGCGGCTCACCTCACACTGTACAAGCAACGTCGTTTTTGCTGAACAGTGCTTGACTTTTGGGAGTCTGGGATTTGGGGTACGTGATAGGCAGAGGGGGCCTATATGACCAGCCCCTAGTGATAACCTTGTACACCAAGTCTCCAATGTGCTTCCCTGATAGACACTGCGTGGCACATGTGGTCATAGCCTGTGGCTGAAAGAATGAGGAGTGTCCTGTGTGAGTCCACAGGGGGAGGACTCTTGGAAGCTCATGCCTGCTTTCCTCTGAACTCTGCCTCTTCCCTTTGCTTTAGGTCTTTCGAATAAATCACCCAACTTCAGGGTGGTTTGGGAGACCCCCAACAAAACATCTTTAAGAGATAATTACAAAATATGTGCTGTAAAATAAAAGAGATCAAAATGAAAGGAGACATATTGAGAGTGGGGAAAAGGCAGCCCACCCCACCCCCTCACTCTTGTATTCAACTCAAGTCCAATCACTATCCCTGCAGTTATTTTTAATAGTTCTTGACAAGCCAGTCCTAAAATCAATATGGGAGAGCAAAGGGCCAAGAATAACCAATTGTGAAGAACAGGTCTGGGGAATTATTGTAAAGCTAAAGTAATTAGGCAGCAGGAAGGATATCTCAATGGGACTTTTCATGGAATTTGACAACATGACTGCTAAAATTTATAAAAAGTAAGCAAAGTCCTGATAATGATGAACAAAGTGCCTTACTAAATAGCAAGTTTTATAAAACCACAGTAATTAAGATGGTATAATATTGGCATAAGGTTAGACAAACAGACCAACAGAACAGAATAGAAGGCCCCAAATCATGTCTACCCTACATAGAAAAAAAATTATAGTGACATTAGAGACCTTAGGAAAAGGTCCATAAATGCACACTAAATGTACTGGGACAACTAGCAAGCTATAGAAACTAATTTAAATCCTATTTCATACCATTCTCCATACATTTATGTACGTTTGAAATATTGCTTAAGAAAAAGTCAGCTTTACTAAATGCATCCACTAAAATCTCTTACTCTGTTGGTAAACTACAGGCCAGCAGTCCTGGTTTTATGAACTGTTCTCCTTGCTAGGACCCCACAGGACAATGGGCTTACTTAAGAAGCATATAACCTCAAATTTACATCAACTTTTTGAATACTATGAACTTCACCTCGTAGATCCTGGCAATTCCACATAGTAGGGTTACTTCTCCTGGAAACTTTTCTAAGCCTTGTTTGAAAAGGTTTAAAGCAGTCACAGGTTGATCCAATGAGGTGTAAACCTGAAACCAAGATACATTTCAGTAAAAGTACAGTTCTTAAAATAATATAGTATTTGTTATGACAATTTGTTACATAATTACTTAGTAACAAATTATCTCCTGTATATATTATAGTAAAAATTGTGTAGGATTTCCAATAATGATGTTATCATTTTATCTCCAGAGATAAAATGAAGCATTCACTCATTTATTCCTTCAATGAATAAATGAGTGAATGCTTATTGTCACAAAGACTGAGCAGTGAGTAGACAAGGATCAAGGGAAACACTTTTTAGGATAGAAGACATGACTATGTCTACAGGTTGGCCAAAAGAATCAGTTGTGAGACTGAAGTTGGAGACACAGGAGAAAGTCGGGAACAGGCGCTGAGAAAGAGCAGCAGGAGAGCTTGTGGAGACAGTGGTTTTGGAAAAGGACCCTCAGGCTTGCATGCATGCATATTAGCATAACCAATGGACACAGACAGCAGTGGGTGAGGGCATGAACAAGGGGTGGCGGGGGGCGGACAATAAGGGAAATAAGCACACATATGTAATACCTTAATCAATAATTTTTAAAAAATAGAGGGGAAACAGATTTGTGAAGAGAGTGGTCAAAATGTTAAAAGAATTGGCACTTGATGGCTTTCACTTAATTAGAAATCAGGATATTAGCATGAATAACCCACATATTTAAAAGAAATCTCTAAATTAGAGAATTATTTTGTGTATAGAAACATAAGATTCGGGCTTTTTTTCTTCATGACCATGGGTCCTCCATTTTCCCCCCCAAAGATAGTTTGTGCTTTGAAGAGGCCCAAATAGATACACAGAAAACTGTTCACAGTGTTTATTACCAAAATATAAGACTAGAGAGAAAGTATGGGTGAAATTTTTTCAACTTTTACCTTATGTATTTTTTAAACTTCTTTTTTAAATATAATGAGTTATATAATTTAATATGCTAAATAATATAAAATATTGAATAATTATATTTAAATTAACCATCTAGAATTGTAATAATTCTGTTCCTAAAATCTGCTGATCCCTATCAGCTAACAATCATTCCTTCATGTATTTAAAAAATAATTAAATTTTACCTCTATACAGTCATGTAGACAATGGATTTAAACAAGTTAATTTACGGAAAAATAAGTCAAACCACATAGTTAACAATAGTTAAAATTAAAAGTACATTTCTTAACCATATGGTGAGTGGTTATCAACAAGATAGTATGACCTGAATTTTTATTTCAAGCTGTCAGAAAAGTTTGTCTACTGTGAGTCTTAGAAACTTCTTTAAGAGTTGAAGTTTACTATATAAGATGCAGTAGGTTTAGGTACCAGACAGTTCAAACGTGTTTGTACACACACTAAGATGAGCACACTAAGTTCATAACACAGCTTTCATTTGCTTTTTCAGTATGCTAACGTTTAATGCCTATTTACGAGTGGTAGCACTATCATGTATATCTCATCTTCTTTTCAACCTCCTTCACCACACTTTTCAGTTGAAAAAATTCTTAAGAGGATTGGGCACGGTGACATCATAACCACCAATTCATCAAATGTTTCATTCAAAGTAGCCTTGGTGAGGGTCAAGAAGTAACTTTACCCCAATCCTGAGATTCTAGGTGTGCCCTCACTTCCGCCGTGGCTGTGGGTGGCACGATGAGGCAGGGGATAGGCTCCAGAATCAGAAAGCTCTGGGCCTGCATGCTGGCTCTAACAGCCAGGTGACCCCGAAATCTCACTGACCCTCCCAGACCTCCTTTTCCTTCAGAGCACAAAGGAAATACTGAAACCTGCCTTGTGGAGTTGCTCTAAGGGTTAAATTAAATGCCTGTGGAACAGCCAAGACCGGTTTGGCTCAGTGGATAGAGCGTCGGCCTGCGGACTGAAAGGTCCGGGTTCGATTCCGGTCAAGGGCATGTACCTTGGTTGTAGGCACATCCCCAGTAGGTGGTGTGCAAGAGGCAACTGATCGATGACTCTCTCTCATCGATGTTTCTAACTCTCTGTCCCTCTCTCTTCCTCTCTATAAAAAAATCAATAAAATATCTTTTAAATAAATAAATAAGTAAATAAATGTCTATGGAACAGATCAGATACAATTCCTTACACTGAGTAGGTGGCCCGCACGTGGGAAATATTGTTTTTGTTATTACGGCAGAGCCAAGAAGTAAAGGACCTATATTAGAACCGCCCCTGCTCTGCACAGTCTGCTTGGGTGGGACACAGTGTGTTGTTAAAAAAAAAAAAAAAAGGAGGGGAGGTGAGGGCCTCTATGGAGCCTGCACCCATAGGGGTGGTAAGCTCGTGATATTTTCTTCTGCTCTAATGGGCAATCTTTCAAAAGGGTTTTCTATTTTCCATCAATTTCTCCTGAAATGGTTCTTCTCTATGTGGTCTCACATTTTCCCTTGCTAAAAAGAAAAATAAGTTAAGTCTGAAGACACCAGCTTGCCAAAATATTCCTGAAGAAACTAGCAACTCTCCCCAGGTGCTGGCAGAATGTACACAGTTCTGAGGAGATTCCACTAGGATGAGGAACACTTACTTTTGCCAAATAAAGAAATGTATCTACCATTTCCTGCTGCTTCAGAGCCGATTTAAACTGCTTTTCTGCTTCACGATACATTCCTAACCTAAGAAAAGCCATTAAAAAATTAGGCATGCACCTTAAAAATAAATACTCTAATATGCATTCATACCCTAAGGATATGGATAGAGACAAATTACATCTATAAAAGTAAGCACGTAAAAAGAAGGTAATGCCCACACACACACATATATTAATACTAACATGTAGTTTATATAATTTAGTAAAACACAGTCTAGTTCCCTTATTTACTGTCTATCTAATCCTCAAATGCTGTGTAGAGTCTGCTGCAGTCTAGACACATCAGGACCAATAGCTGCTGGGTTCACAGCCCAGAGAGCTTATGATCAGCGGGACATATGGCAAGTGACCTGGATAAATGCTTAGAGTCTCTATTTTACTGGGAGAACTAAAGGGTGCCCTTTCTTAGAAAACAGCATTTCCTTTGAGGCGAAAATCCCAATTTTAAAGCCATTTTGAAACAATTTTGATGTAAGGAGTAATTGCCACTTGAGTTGATAGCTATACCATTTTGTTATTCTAGAAACATTTTCTTTTCCTCTTTTTGGTGTCCGATGTTGACTGTCCTAGCCTACCAGTGGGAGATTTGTTCCTTGCCTAACTGTAATTGTCCTGGTGTCAGACCCACCTCTTCTACCCAGGAAACATTTTGTTACCACTAACTCAATCATTACAGCATACTCAGCCTGTCTTTAATAGATTTGTTGGGCTTTCTTATAATTACTCCTCCCCTATACCGCCCCCCCCCTCCTCCGACTTCTAAGAGCTCCTTGGGCACTTTAATATTATTTAATATAATTTTATTTTGTAAGATAAAGTCAGAACTACACACAGTATGTTCCACTGTGCTACTTTCACTTAAAGGATAGAAAAAATAGCTCTGATCTCTTTCCTAACCTAAGCCTCAAGCATTGGCTCTACCCCAATAGCTATCGGAAGACACAGGATTAAAGGGGTGAAAAGTGAACCCCCAAAAAAACTGGCCTAAAGTTAGAGGATATATGATATAACAGAAGCCCCCACCTTCTCAAAGATTTCACAACTTTTACAAGGAGTAGTTATAAAATTTTACCAAAGACACTAAAAGTTCTGGAAAACAGCATATTTATGTACATAACTTGAACTAAACGTGCAAGTCTGAAACACGTGGCTGAAGTTCATCACTGACTTCCATGAACACCTCATTATTCATGAGAGTCTGTGTATTTTTATTTTTAATTTATTTTTATTTATTTTATATTTTGATTTTTTTTACAGAAAGGAAGGGAGAGGGATAGAGAATTAGAAACATCAAAGAGCCGAAACCAGTTTGGCTCAATGGATAGAGCGTCGGCTTGAGGACTGAAGGGTCCTGGGTTCGATTCCGGTCAAGGGCATGTTCCTTAGTTGCGGGCATATCCCCAGTAGGGGGTGTGCAAGAGGCAGCTGATTGATGACTCTCTCTCATCAATGTTTCTAACTCTCTTATCTCTCCCCCTTCCTTTCTGTATAGAATCAATGAAATGTATTAAAAAAAAAAAAAAAAGAAAGAAAGAAAGAAACATCAATGAGAGAGAAACATCGATCAGCACCCTCCTGCACACCTCCTATTGATGTACCCGCAACCAAGGTACATAACCTTGACCAGAATCGAACCTGGGACCTTTCAGTCCACAGACCAATGCTCTATCCACTGAGCCAACCGGTTAGGGTGAGTCTGTATATTTTTATTTAGTAAATTGTCTCTTTCCAAAAATGATTGAAAAGGGATTACAGCAAAAAGACACATACAAACAAAAATATGAAAACAGAATTACCCTTTTTAAAAACAAAACAAACAAAAAAAACCACAAGGAGATGGAAAGATAAACCAATTAAAAACCAAAGCAATCAGAGATACTGAAACACCCAGAAACCAAAGAAAAGGAAGTCTTTTATTATATTACTGCACCCTTAAGAGCCCATTTTTCCTAGTACTAGCAAAAGGAATGTACCTCCTGGGTTCGTGTGCAAAGGAAATGGGTGGGCCATGTACACAGCAAGTATAATGAAAACATCGGTCAAATTCATGAACACAGGCTAAATCAGAGTCAGAGTCCAGAGATAGGTAATCCCCACCAACTGCCAACGTTTTCTCTCCCATTTAATTCAATAATCATCAAGCACCAACTGCATGCTCAGTTCCTGATGGCAAGAAGACGCAAAAGTGAAGATAACAACCATGTCCCAAAGGCACCAATAAAGGCTGAAATAAAACATGCTCACAGGTAAACCTGGTTTCGTGGCAATGAGAACGAAAGGTGCTTGGAGAGCTCAGAGGAGGAGTGAACCAAGGTAGCTTCAGGTAGGAAGCAACAGAACAAGATTTTGCCCGACAGGGTGAGGTGAGGGTGAGGGGACATCTCAGACAGAAGCAAACTGTCAGAATAAGCACACTGACGGGCGAATGCAGAGCATGGTGGGGGAGATGCTAAGTTGTCCTGGCTTAGCTGAAAAGGTGGACACGGTGAGGAATGGGAGAAGTGAGAGATGCGGGCAAACATGCAGCCTGAGACAAGACCTGGGGTACCAACCCTAAGACCCAGACTTCATTCTAAAGATAATGCACGTTAGCCAAAGCAGCCAACAAGAGCTGTGCTTCACAACAGTACATCGACAGTAGGAAAGACTACTTGAGGCAAAAAAAAAAAAAAATAGTAGTAGACAATTCAGGCAAGAAGCTCATGTAATAATTCAAACAAATGACACTAAATGCCAGAATGAGGGCATGAGTGGGACTGTGTAGTAAGGGAGCAACTGTGAAAGCTACTGCAGAAGAAGGACCAGAAAAACTAACTGGTCAGGAGCAGAAAGACGGAAGTCGGTTTGGGGCTACATCGCCTGGGAGTCCATCCTTGGCCTCCCTAGCGGAAATTAGCTTTCTCTCTGCCCCTGCGCCTGCTTCCATCACAGTGGGAACCGGACTTACTGTAGTCTACTGTCCTCTCTCCCTCCTGGCCTGTAAGAAACTATCATTTAAAGGAAGAAGCTCCCTAATGGGAGAGGAAATGAATGAGTGAATGTTATATCCATAATAAAGATGAGAACCTATTAAGGAACAGAGAACGGTAATATGAAAAAGTACACTCATTTAAATGCCATCCTAAATGGATGGCAGAAGGAATCTGAATTGTGCTTATCTTTAATTATTAAAGATTTCTGAAAGTCTTGCTCAGACACTCAAGATTTCGAGCTTGTCTTCAGAAACTATATTCATGAGTTTAATGTTACAATGATCTAAAATTACCTTTTAACAGAAAAGATTCCTCAACCCAACAACAGGAAAAAATACTTTAGAGTTCTATGTGAAATATCTAAACAGATAGTAGTCTTAAAAGAAAAGGCATCCCTTTGGTTCTATTTATATAGTTCCTTTTCCTCACAGTGTCTGCCTGAAAACTAAAGAACTGAGGAATGGTCACAGTAATCAGTTTACCTTGTTTCATTTCGTTTCATGCACCAGGCCTCTAGTGTATATATACATACACACATACACACACACACACACACACACACACACACACTAGAGGCCTGGTGCATGAAATGTATGCACTCAGGGTGGGGGGGGCAGGTCTCTCAGTCCAGCCTGCACCCTCTCACAGTCCAGGAGCCCTCAGGGGATGTCCGACTGATGTCTTAGGCCCGCTCCCTGCTCAGGGAATGTCCAATTGATGGCTTAGGCTTAATCCTCACCACAGGGAGCCATCAATTGGACATCTTTAGTGCTGCTGCAGAGGCAGGAGAGGCTCCTCACCCTGTCGGGCAAAATCTTGTTCTGTTGCTTCCTACCGCCAGCAGTGAGCCTGACTCAGGGCTTCTGGCTGAGCAGCACTCCTCCTGTGGGAGTGCACTGACCACCAAAGGGCAGCTCTTGCATTGAGCATCTGCCTGCTGGTGGTCAGTGCGCATCATACCAACCAGTTATTCCGCTGTTTGATGGATTTGCATATTAGCCTTTTATTATATAGGATGTTTATTTCAGAGAGGAAGTGAGAGGGAGAGATAGAAACGTCAATGAGAGAATCATCGATCAGCTGCCTCCTACAAACCCTACACTGGGGATTGAGCCGCAACCCGGGCATGTGATCTGATCGGGGATAGAATAGTTGATCTCTTGGTTCATAGGTTGATGCTCAAACACTGAGTCATCTCTGCTGGCTAAAATTATTATATTCTAAAGGTGTCAGTTCTTTGTGCCACCCTGTGATTGCTCAGTAAATGCTTTCTCAAGTAAGCCAAAGATACTTCTTGAGAAAAATCTCCCACTCCCAACCCCCAAAATGATCAGGTTTAAGACTCTAAAATATGTTGCCACTTCTAAGCCTTCCCAAACAATCCAGATTTTACCTGTAGTAACACTTTCCAATCTGCACTTTCCACCACCAGTCCTTGTACTGAGAATGCTCTGTGGAAAGGGCAGCCAGATCCAAGGCCTTGGGAAACAAGTCGTTTTAGGTTAGGATTTTCTCTTCTAACAATAAACAGAAACAATAAATAATGAAATCAACCATATAATTTGCATCAATCAAAGCATGCATTAGAAATCAGACAGCAAATCAAGTTGCTCATGTTTCCAGATGGCCCCAGGAATTTTCCCCAAATAATCAGTTCCAGACCAGAGGGCTGACAGCAGATGACAAGTAAACACTGCTTAAAGGGAAGCAGATGTACAACATATTTAAATACAATTTTAATATACAAGGCACAAAAGTGGTATTTTAAAAATCCATATATTTTCACCCTCTCCCCACCATTTATCGACTGTCTAATGATCCAAAACGCCTCCTAATTCAGTGTCAGTCAAGCCTGCAGGGTGTTAACCTAGTCCAACCGCAGGCTCCACTTAATAGAGACACAGAGAAACAGAAAAAAATCAAGGAAGCAGGTAGAAAAGGGTTTGGAAAACAGGATCATTAAGAAGCTGGGGTACTTGGGTAATGATCATCTTCAAAAATCTTCATTCCATATTCTGATATCACTTCACATTCCAATAACTCTAAAGGTCAGACTTTCCTTTGCTACAGACTAAAAAAAAAATCCCCTTAGTTGCTTTCATATTTAACATGTGTTTCTCCCATCTCTCTTGTGTCTTTTAGTTTGTTCTTTCTAATATTTAAGATCTGGCACACAAAAAAAATGACTAAACAGGAATGAGAATTTTATATAGAGGAAGTGGAAACCTTTTGGATAAGAGAAAAGCAAATCAATCTTTTCACAGATTTGCAGCTCATAGAAAATTTGAAGTTCATGCAAATATTTAGCGAATAAAAACCCAGGTTATTAGTTAAAAGAGAATTCTGATATTTTAAAAGTAATACTTATTATTCTTTTTCTCAAGGTTGAAAAACTTATTCTTTAAACAGTGTGGAGGCCAACACATATCCCATATTATTGTCCATTTCTTAATATTAACCTTTTTCTAAAATAAATGCCAGAAATAAATGCTCTCCTACTGTAAAACTAATAACATTTTTTTGTTTCCCATCTTCTCTTGCTCCAGGAAAAATTTTTAAATAAATATGCAAATTATTTTTTTTTAAGTGGTGTCCCTATGCTGGGGTTATAATAGACTTGAAAAATCAACACTTCTACTTGAAAGCTATAGATATTAAAAAACAAGACACATATAACTTTCATATGCTTATTTTTCTTTTTTCCCCCAAGTCAGAAATAAAAATGGAAGCAAAAAATGATGGAAAAAGTGTACCTTCAATTAGCATTATCCCTGGAAATAGTAGAAAAACATATTTTCAATCAGCTAAATTCAGGGGTATAAATATCTGCATATATTAATTTTAACTTAATCTTTATAAAGATCTCTTCCAGCACATAGATCAGATTCACTCTCATGTTTAATCTAATGACTTCTGTCTTCATAAAGATGTCATTCTAACTTTTTTATATTTTTTAACTTTCCAAGACTAGACTCGGTGCTTATTCCAGACTACTGATTTTGCTCTCACATACGGCCCTGAAACACATCCTCCTATGTAGGATCCCCATGTTTGTGCTAACCCAATTAAGAAAATTAATATGAATTATTGATATAGAATAATAAAAATATACATTTAAATGATCATTCTCCATATGAAGTCTAAGGCTGTACTAGACAAAACCACTGGCGACAATTTCAAAAGGGCCCAAGTTCTCTTAAGACAGGCACAGCTCTCCGGCTCTGATATGCTGCCGTGCTAAGTAAGAGACACTGAATAATTATCTATTGATTTAATTAATTCAATTCTTTATTTCTAATTTATGTTGAAAATAACTTAAGCACCAAACAAAATTATTATAGTAATAAGATTCTTATTAAAATTTAAAATTTTTAAGTGGTAACAAAACCTTTTATTTCTTTAAAGTCCCAATTTTAAAAAATATATATATTTTATTGATTTTTCACAGAGAGGAAGGGAGAGGGATAGAGAGCTAGAAACATCGATGAGAGAGAAACATCGACCAGCTGCCTCCTGCACACCCCCTACCAGGGATGTGCCTGCAATCAAGGTACATGCCCTTGACCAGAATCAAACCTGGAACCTTTCAGTCCACAGGCCGACGCTCTATCCACTGAGCTAAACCAGTTTCGGCTAAAGTCCCAATTTTTTATTTTTTTAAATTACAGTTTACATTCTATATTATTTTGCCTTAGTTTCAGGTATAGCATAGTGGTTAGACAGTCATATGTACTTTACAAAGTGCTCCTTCAATGTTTCCAGTACCCACCTGGCCCCATATATAGTTATTGCAATATCATTGACTATTCCCTATGCCGTACTTTGCATCCCCATGGCTATTTTGTAATACCAATTTGTACTACTCAAATCCCTCAACTTTTTCACCCAGTCCCTCAAACCTCCTCCCCTCTGGCAATCTTCATTCTAAAGTTCCAATTTTTAAAAATAAATGACTATATATATTTAAGGGCCTTTAAATAATTTAACCAACACAGAATCTCAATATTAAAGGCTCAGAAGATCATAAATAAAAACCGTAAGTGCATAGAAGTCCATAAGCAGTGTCTTCAGCGATCTACACATGATAACATTTGTGAAAATGTCCAAGTGAGCAGCACCCAGTTGCTTTCCTAATAGGGCTCCAACACTAATGTTAAAAAAAAAAAAAAAAAAAAAAAAAAAAAAAAAAAAGTTGTCTTTTCACTATTGTTATAGTTGTGACAACTTCAGGATGATGAAATTAAAGAGCATTTGAAATAAAGACTCCTTGGTCACCAGCTTTATTTTGTCAGTGCTGTCAAATTGCCCCAAAAAGGGAGAGGAGGAAGGGGAGATGTTAAAAACCCCAAGGCAGAAAAAAAAACAGTTTCCATAGGACAACTTTTCTTTTCCTTAACATTGAAACATCACTTCATAATATTCTCTAAAGTTATCCACAGTGCTCTCCATATCTGTCTATAGACAAATGCAGAATCACCAACCCACATGCCATTTTAGATTTGTTACTATTGGCTTTCCCCACAAATGGAAAAAGTATTAAGAATTCAAAGATAGTGCCAAAACCGGTTTAGCTCAGCGATAGAGTGTCGGTCTGTGAACTGAAAGATCCCAGGTTTGATTCTGGTCAAGGGCATGTACATTGGTTGCGGGCACATCCTCAGTAGGGGCTGTGCAAGAGGCAGCTGGTCGATGTTTCTCTCTCATCGACATTTCTAGCTCTCTATCTCTCTCCCTTCCTCTCTGTAAGAAAAAATCAATAAAATATATTAAAAAAAAAAAAAAAAGAATGCAAAGATAGAAATATAGTTTCCCATAGAAGAGCAACTTGATTTTTCTTGACATTTAAATACCATTTTACAGTACTTATTTAATATTCTTTAAATTTGTGTGAAATAATTTATTTACAAAGAAATTTGGAGGCCACCCAAGTATCCAGTATAAAAGCACCTCTGATTTCTTCAGCATGTTGAAAACAGAATTCCCTTTTTTCCCCAGCCAAGTTGCAAAACATTCATAAAAAAAAAAAAAAAAAAAAAAAAAAAAAAAAGAATGCTTCTGGTTCGTTATCTAAATTCTTCTTCCATTCAGAAAATAACATTTGTGGGGAAAAATAATTTTAGCCCTAGCTTGTTCAGCTCAGAGGGTAAGCGTCAGCCTGCGGACTGAAGGGTCCCCAGATCAATTCCAGTCAAGGACATATACCCGGGTTGCAGGTTCGATCCCCAGATGGGGGTGTGCAGGAGGCAACAGATCAATGATTCTCTCTCATCATTGATGTTTCTCTCTCTCCCTTTCCCTTGCTCTCTGAAATCAATAAAAATATTTTTAAAAATAAAGTAAAATGATATTTTAATGGAACAATCTGATCCAGAACAGAATTATGATATGGCAAGCCCATACTAGTGAAAAAGAGATACAGGGATTCTGTCTTTCTCAGTATTCCTAGCACACATAATAGTACCAATGCATAGGCACTCAATAATTACTGGTTCAAGGAATAGGCCAATCAAGTAACAAATCGATAAGTAAAATAATGAATAAAAGGGAAAACAGAGGAACCAATTATTTGCAGTTTTACTAAATAAAAACAAAACAAATTGCTTAATTTCACGTTCTATAGAGTAATGTATATGTATTGGAGGTTAGCAGAGGAAAAGTCCAACCAGAGGGTTTGAAAATATTAGTAATTCTCCAATATTTAATAATTCGATCTGTTTATAAGAAAGGTAGGAAACAGAACATTTCAGAATTTAAATCCCTAAAGTCAGAAAACTCAAAATAAAAGTAAAAAGCATGAATTCAAAACTTACAGTCTTAACATCGTTTTCATGATGAAAGATATACTCAAACAAAGCCTACAAAGAAAAAAAATGCCAAAAATACATTAGATTTTATTTTAACAAAAGCACTCTATTATTATATCAAAACTCAGACAGTTGTGACAACAGCTGGATTGAACCAGAATAAAAATGTACTCGAAAGTGCCTAGGATTTATAAATAATATGTCAATCCATCATTTGTCACAATTACCCATTTCAAAATATGGCTATTTACAACTAATTCCTGTCTTTACAGAGTACAAACTGGAAAGCTCAAATGACTGAATATTTTTTTCACATTGTACATACTATTTTATTAGAAAGAGATAGAAATGGGGGGGAAGACACTAGAACTGCCAAAAATGACAGATTCACCCCATTTTTAACACATTTTATGTATTTTATACAGTGATTATGATATTAATAACAATACTTTAGACATAGGAAAATCTGGACTTTCTTCTAAAACAGAGTAGAGCTTAAGGGTAAAGTGGGGAAGGAGGAGTTGCTTATTATTCAGATGACTCTAATGGACAACCAGGGCTAAGAGCCATTATTTTAATCCTTCACCCAACTCATGAGGATAAATAAGCATTTGCTGGATTATTTGTTGGTAGGACTACATCTGTCCACAATAACATTATTTGCACTTGCACAGAGGCTGGTACCCCTGGAAGATATCAAGGATCTTAACAGAGAAGACTTGGAAACAACAACAAAAAATCAGGTCAAGGTCTTTCTTTAAAAAACTATACGTAACCTTCCATTTCTGTTATACAGAAAAAGGAAAAAAAAGAAAAGAAGTTCAGAATGCAGTTTGGTGTTACCCCTGCCATGAAAAAGATGAGACAGTGCCAGGGAGTCGAGTCACACAGGCACCCCAAGCAATATGGCAATATTAGAAGTGGGTTCTAAGGAGCCAAGCAAGTTGGGGACCAAAGACAGAAAAACCTGGCATCACTTCTGCAACCCACTAAAAAAGTACAAAATCTAGTTCAGTCTAAATCGAGTAACACAGACAGGTCTGTCCTGGAGGCATCAGAAGTTAACTGTGGAAAATGCCTTCAGTGATGAACTTCCTGGTTAGGACACAGCACCTCCAGTAAATGGCTGAAAAGGCAGGGAACCGGGTATTCCATACAGACTGCTTTTAGCACTCCACTCTCACAGAGAAATGAGAGAACTGAGAAAAGCTTCATGATTCTGCTGAATGAAGCTGACGGGGCTGCTGTCAAATAAGAATTTAGGAAAAGTATCAGCAGCACTACTCTCATCTGAGTCCCTTCCTACCTTCTAGCATTTCTCTTCCTGATTTAAACTCCAAGTCTGTATAGCTCGTATCCATTTCGGTTTTCTGGAGTGTTTGATATTTAGCAAATATGTTCAATGCCACTGGAAATGAGATTAGGAATGAGCTTGGGACTCATGTACAGAATTCACAGAGATTACAGTTAAAAACCTGAGCTAGGCTTAAACCAGTTTCCAGAAGAAAAGGGCTCCTGGCTCTGAATTATTCCATGCTACCTCCAAGTATTTTTATACTGGAAAGGTCATGGACGCTCTCCCTCGCCCTCGCCCTCGCCCTCTCTCTCTCTCTTTCTCTGTCTCTCTCCATCCCTCCCTCCTTCGCTCCGATTTTAATTTAAAGGCGCATTTAATCTTTGAGTAGTTAGAATGACTAATGTACTTGGCTTGCCACTGTCTGGTTTGAGTAATCCTTATTGAGATGCCTGATTAAATACTAATTAGAAGGAGTACATGTTTTTTATCTTCTCTTTGACAGTCCTGAAATCCTCAAGGATAGAAAATTGTTTTTCTGAGAATCGGCCAAACTGAAAAAGGAAAAAAAAAAAAAAAAATACGCACACATAGAGATGACCTCCTTAGCTTCACTCCCTGAAGATGCTGCTGTGTATCTGCTTGCCTTGCTCTAAATTACTGTTCTTTATAAGGAAGAAAAGAATTTCCTAGAATAATGGTACACTGTAAATGCTATCTTTCTGACTGACTTTACTTAACTCCAGACCAAGAGGAATTTTACAAATATAGCAATTAAACATATCCATTTTAATAAAAACATGGCCTTTCCTGCACAGATTTGTATCCATTTCCAACAACGTTATTACAATAATACTTCTAATATAACTTCCTAACATAATTTTAAGTACTTACCTTTGCCAATTTAGGTTTCTGGGCATACTTTGTTAAATTCAGCCTAGATAAATTTATAAAAGGTCCATCCGGACTCGTCAGCATGGAAGCCTATGGAGAAAATGATAAAACAAGAACTAGAAAACGTGTTTCTCTTAAAACACAAATTAAAATGTATGGATAAAGATTATAAAGGCGACATAGTTAAAAAAGAATCACCTTTAGAAACCTTCCATATAATTCTCCACTATCACAGCAGGGAAAAGTGACGTAACATAAGGTTTCTTTGGCAGTGCCAGGCTCTGACAACTCACCGTGCCTAGCCTGACGAACCTTCCGGACGAGCTGGTGATGGGGCGGGCCGTGTAGGCGGTCCGGGGCGTCCTGATGGCCTGCTCCATGGTGCCTGGCCTGCCACTCTGGGTGCTGGGTCTGAGGAAACCTGTGATGGGCCTTCCAGCTTGAGTGATCGGCCTGTGACGATTGTAAATGGTTCAAACACAAAGAAGATCGATAAAGGAAGGGTCTCTAACCGTCGGGACAATATTTAGTGGCAGAAGGTATGACACAGAAGCGCATACCTGATGGCTGGACTAGGCCCTCCGGTCTGATTAGTTCCAGGGAGTTTCAAGGATGTGCCAGGGCCTATGAGATGAGACAGTGAATTCAACTTAGGTATTATTTATAAAACTGGAAATACTGTCATCTAATGAATTTTCAGAAACGTGCTGGTGCAAAAGACATTAATAACAGGAAGTCTGTCAGGTAAGTAGTACTAACCCACTCAGCAAAGGCTTACAGCGGTGATTTTCAACTGGTGTGCCGTGAGAATTTTTTAAACATGCAATACCTGACTATGTATTTGTAAACACAAGATTTCTTCCTTCTAATGGCATTTCATTTACTTAACTGAAAAACCTACACTTACGTGGAACTTGAGCAATAGCATTTTCGTCCAGTATCATTTCCGCAATTCCTTCCTGATCTACATCGATTTCATCGACATATACCATTTCAGTGAGTGCTCGTGCTTTCAAAATCCAAGCTGCCTACAAAAGCATGGGTAAAATAAGCACATATTAAACAGCATTAGAAGTACTGCAAAGCCTGTAGAAGCCAGCCATCCTTCATTAGTATCTAACTAGAGGCGTAATGCACAAAATCTGTGCAAGGGGCTTCATCCGGAAGGTCATCTGGAAGGACGTCCAGAAGGATGCTTTTATTATTATAGACTAGAAGCCCGGTACATGACATTCGAACACTGGTGGTGGGGGGAGGTCCCTCAGCCTGGCCTGCTCCCTCTCACAGTCCAGGACCCCTCGGGGGAAGTTCGCCTGCTGACTTAGGGGGAGTGGCCCTAAGCCAGCAGTTGGACATCCCCCAAGAGATCCTTAGCGCTGTGACAGAGGTGAGAGAGGCTCCCACCATAGCCACTGTGCTCACCAGCCACGAGCCCAGCTTCTTTCTGAGCAGCACTCCCCCTGTGGAAGCACACAGAGCATCAGGGAGCAGCTCCTGCACGGAGCGTCTGTCCCCTGGTAGTCAGTGTGCATCATAGCAACCGTTGTACCACCGTTCAATTTGCATATTAGCCTTTTATCATATAGGATTTTTTTATTAAGCATGTTTACCACTTAATGCATGATACTAATTTAAAGGGCTATGTCAATAACCTAAGAAGAAAAGACCATTATGATGAAACAACTAATATATCAATTACCTAATAAATAAAAATGTAATAATTAGCTTGTGAGCCTTCTAACATGCCTCTTTATAGATAAAAGAGCTTAGGGAAAATTTTACTGAATAATAATTTGAGAACAAATGGATAAAGTTACAAACACCATGCTCCTTCTGTCCTCCTCCCTCAGGATCAAGTCCTTCATGATTTCCCTTATAGTTCAACTCTAAACCTACTTCACTCTCGTCTGTCTCACAGAGCATTCTTTTCCAGCTTCCATTATTATGTACTTACCGTATTTGACAAACGTTATAATTATTTGAGCATATGTTTAGCCCTCCATTCCCTAGAAAATGAGCCTTTTTCTTCATTTTTTAATTTTCAATAACTTCTTTGGTGGGTTTTTTTTTACACAATAAGTATTCCAAAAATGTTGAATTAACTAAGATCAACTTCTCCCAATAATTAATCAACATAATCTTGGTTAGCTTTGTGATCTAGCCAATAGAAAACCTGCTAGCAAGTAGAGCTAGGGGAAAGAAAAAAGTAACTAAGGAATCTAGAAAATATCAGCTTTGCTTTAAAAAAAAATAGATATAAAGATGTGCACAATTCTATGTCTTGTTAAACACTTAAAACTACTCTATCAGGAGCAGAGAACAACAAAGCTCAGTGTCTGTCCTATAGACAATATGGAGAGAAGGCAAGTCTTGCTGTCATAGCACAGAGCTGATTTATAGTCTAGACTCTAAGCTTAGAGCACTAGTTAAGTATACAATTTTACCTATATGTTCCCAAAAATTCTAGTTTAGCACTTCTTAGTTGGGATTCAGGAATCTGTATTTTAACAACTCCACCAGGTGATTCTCATCATGAAAGAAGTTTGGGAAACACTGGTCTAGAAGAAGTAGCAGCAAGGGACACTTGGGCGGTTTAGAGCTCACCATAGCTGCTGAGTGAAGGCAAAGGGACAGAGAGCGGAACACATGAGGGCACTAAGAGGTCCAAAGGGTCCTCACACGAGGAACCCAAGAGACATGCAGTTAGTCAATCCGCATCTATTGAGTACCTCCTAAACAGAGCATAGGGCTAGGTTCTGAGAAGGAAGCATGAGAATAAAACTTGGATCCTAATATCCTGGAACATATCACCTATTGGAATATAAGGCAAGGCAAAGCAGTGCAAGTGGTACAAAAATAGTTTTATAGGAATTAAGAAAGTCGAGATTTCTTTGTAGGCTAAAGTAATTGGAATGTATATATTTTTTTTAAATTTAAATAAAAGATCTAAAAATCTCCATGCTTTCATTTTGAATGGGAATAAAGAAGACTATCTTCATGGTATATTTAGGCTCCTAAGGTGATGGCTTCCATATTCCAAGGCATTCTTTGCTCAGCACCCTCTGGTGGCCAGGAGGAAGGACTGCACATTTTCTGTTGGAACAGTAAAGCAGGAGGTAGGCTTTGTTGGTTCCCTGGTTCATTCCAGCACTTAACTCAGGAGCACCTACGGCTTGCCAGGTCCTGGGAAAAGAGATAAGTAGGCCACAGCCCTAGTTCCAGCACATGAGAATTGCAGTGCTACAGGAAAGTGTAATGACACAATTCTGGAGCTACTGGGGAAGAAAGGCACCCAGCTGCCCTGAGGTAGAGGGAAGAGCAGAGAAGAGTTTGGCCCAGTGGCCAAGACTAGAAAGCTTATGCCAGGAAAAGCAAACAACAGGACAGAAGTAGGCTAGTTTGGCAGCTCTGAGACAGCTGAGTCTGATTGGAGAATCAGGTCCAGCTGAGGCAGCAATCAGAGAAGTCGGAGAAAATGTCAGTAGCAGATAGGTGATGGTCTCTGTATGCCACAGTGAGGCATATGAATTTTTATCCTGATGAGGATGAGCTGATGAAACTTCAAAACCAGAATGTGGAGTCCTCATTCAGTGGAATTTTTAAAAGCCAAGTTTTTATTATTATAGTGTCATTTATATATTGGGATTTAATTACCCATGCACGTATTTTTAAATTATTTTCATGTCCAGACTTTATCTCATAGTTTACGCCATCATGGTTCTTAACATCTATCTTCCTACTAACCTCTCAAATATTAAAGAAGTGCAAATTTTCTTATATTAGGCTAAGCAAAACATAGGAAAGTAAATCAACTATTCCCTTCCTTCACAAATTACTAAATACTTCAGAAGCCAAATAAGAACATTTTTAAAATTTTATTCCATAAGAATTCACTTTTTCAAAAAGAGCTCCAATTTCTAAAATCTAATTTTTAAGAAAGTAGAAATAATGATGTGAATTTTTTATATCTAAAGCTCTATAATGAAACCTACTTAAACCGTTATTAAATTTTAAATTTCACCACTATTTGAGAATATTAATCTTCCTGACTTTCCTTCTATCCTAACAAAAAATGACCTTGAAACTCATATATCACTGCTGGATTAAACATCAGATTGTATTCAAAGAACTGCTCTTGGCAATGTGAACAATTCTTGAGATTTCAATAAAAAACAGCAGATGGGGCTTTGGCTTTAAACAAATTTTTTAAAATTTATTTTGGAAAAAAGCCAAGTATGTTTTACATCTCCAAAATCCTCTGCCTGTTTAAATTATTTTTTTAAGCTCAAAACTAATCAGTGATTAAAATAAAATGCATAATAAAGCACAATCTGTGATCCCAAACTGCCCCTTGAGTCCCAAACTGCCCCTTAAATTAGCTTTATCAGATATGTTTTACTTGTTGAAAAATGACAAGGTCAGGCAATTTATGTAAATAATTTGAATACCTATTTATTGCAAGTACTGTGAGATCCACAAAAAATAATAGATGTTTAAGGAAGTTTTTTTAAAGAAGAAAAGCACAGATTCTCCCAATGTAACTGAGTGATTACCGTATCACATCAATATTTTCTTTTCTTTATCTGTGAAACATAACCCCATCTCGTTCACCTACTGAGTTAGACTGCAGGATATTATTCCGGAGGCAAGTACCTGTTGGCTAATATCAGGAAAAGACTGACTTGTTCTCCCTTCTGTGAGGTTAATCCAAGTTTAGTTATAAAAATAAACATTTCAAAAGGCAAAAAATATACTGAGGGCAACATATTTAAATTGTTCAGTTCCTCTTAATACAGAATGCAAGGCCAGTAGTTAAAAACATGTGTGAAACAATTTTGCTAGGTTATTAAGAATAGTCTGTCTAACCCGATTTTGACAACATAAAAATCAGTAACATCTGACACTGTCTAGGCTATAAGGTGAAAATTTAGGCACAAAATATTGAATTATTATTGCAAAGCCTTATTTATTTTGAAGTGGTAAAAATGTGCCAAAGAAGAGAGAGGCAAAGTATTCAAAAAAAAAAAAAAAAAAGTATAAATAGTGAGCTCAAAAGAATCCAGTCACCCTGTTTGCTTTTTATTCTTTTAGCTCACTATCCACTGGATAATTAGGTCTACAGTAACATATCAGGAAAATAATACTAAGTACAGGTCTTTCATGAAGTTCCTGTGCTAGTTTGAAACTTTCCAATGCCATTTATGGTTTTAAAACCATGCAAATTATTGATGTTTTAATTTTAATCAAAAATCCTCCAAAATTAGTGAAAACAAAAAGTACACTACTTGCTCTATTTATAATGTAGGTCTCCTTCTTAAATGACTTGTGCATAGTATGCAAAAAATAGTTTTGTACCATCTATCAATTTGGAAATCATGGTTATAAACATTTCAGAGACAAATGGCATACTTTAAAGAACAGGATACTACATTTGAACCTATTTATGATGTCTTTTTAATACTCACAGGCCTCTATAAGAGCACTTTGTATATTGCGTTCTTCAAAAAGGTTTCATGATTATCCATATGGGCCCTATATAAGGTTCAAATTGCTTATTTACCTGAAAAACACTTAAAATTCTCTCTCATTTGGGAGGGCAAACACCTGGCAATATTTAAGCTCTCTGATTTACAGCTCTTTCCTCCCTTCCCCTAATTCTCACACTTCCTGGAAACCCACTTGGACTAAAAGCTTCACCGGCCAGATGTTTCCCTAACGAAACCCCCTCTCTCCCTCATTTGCTGTTTCTTTCCCAGTTAACACGACCCTCTGACCACCTCCTACCTCTAACCAAGTTGATTTGGTAGAGGTGGCTGTCTGGCCAGGTTCCCTTCCTTTCTTCTTCACTGTGACAAGCACCTCTGTCCATAACCAAGACCTTCTGAACCAGAGTCGGGCTGTTCTACTCAAGACACGTCCTATCTATCACAGTCTCTTCAGACACCTGTGGCTCTGCTAACTTCTTGCTCCCTTTCTAAGATCCTGGTTCCCCTTCCTTCCCTTACTGTTATCCTCTGGTCAATACTGG